TTTTCCAAGTCAGGGTTTACTCTTCTAGACAGATGTAGGGTCTTAGAATTTGCCTTACTAAATTTAATTTTATGTTCTAACACCCATTCTTAAACCAGTCGCAAAACAGAGTTTGCTTCCGCACTTAACTCCAGCCTGTTTCTGGCTTCAAAGGGTCAAAAGTGACTCCAGCATATTCCACAGGGTCCACAGCATGAGCCTTGAGCCTCTTTTGTGGCCGGTGCTTCTTTATCACATGCCTTCTTATCTGTGAAGTAATCTCGTGAGAGGAGATACAGCTTTCTTGGACATTTTTTTTTCTCTTAGAGCTCCGAGAATACCAGGCCATCAGGCGGCACCAAATGCCCCCTGAACATCTATTGATACAAGCAGCATGTCCATTGCATGTTTAAGTTTTCATTAATAAAATTAATGGCCGTTTTTAGTGCCTGCATTGACTGGTTTCTCATGGCATATCTTCTAGGTGCGACGCTGCGTTAGTAGCCTTGTTACCACAGTGTTTGGCTTGGTGAGTCTGGTCTAAAATTTGTCAGACTCATGGGAACATAAAGATTCATTACTGCTCAAGGTAGCTCGGCCTTTACAGTATATACTCTGAATCAAAAACTCGACGGATGACAAGCCTCAGTACAGCTCGAGCACCCATTCCCACAAGCTGTTCTTTGTTGAATTTGAATGGTTTTTTCTGAAATGAACTCATTTTTCAACATCTACAAATCATAATAGAACACTGCACAAGCGTTGATCTTTAAATCAAAACTTTAACAATTTATTAATTAAAATGTATAATTCATTCAGAAAATTTACACAATGGTTTCTAGTGGCTGCTCAAGTTCGCCAAGCATGAGCTTCAGCCACGACATGAGCCTTTCCATGTCGTGTGAATGGCTTGTGGGCAGAATATAACAGACCACAACAGATCACAAGTCTGTGAAGGTTAGTCAAGCCCACGCCGTGGAATAAAGCTTTATTGCTGTGACCACATTTGTAATATGATTATTTGGAGTCGTGAGATGCGGTCTCACGATCTCCAAATAACCATTAACTAACGATCACTCAATACCACACATTTGTAGTATGTAATAACTACAGGAATACAGACGGTTCGAGGGTCAGTAAGGGGGTTGGCAGCGCAGTATGCTGGGAAAAATACGCTAAAACAATTCCTCTCCCAAAGGCTGCAAGTATCTTTACCGCAGATTTGACTGCCATATCATCCGTGCTGAGTGAAACTGAACACATTGGGTGCAACCAATATGTCATATGCACCGACTCACTCAGTGCGGTCTTAGCCATCCGTAATATCTTCACCATGGACCCACTAATCCAGGCAATACAAGAAAAAATCAGAGAAATACACGAACAAAGAAAAGAGGTTATTGCCTGGATACCGGGCCATGTAGGCATAGAAGGTAATGAAAATGCCGATCAAGCTGCTAAACGATAATGCCACATCACCCAGAAACTCCCGTGAACCCAACGGACGTCAAAAAATATATGAAGAATCTTTGTTGGAAAGATTGGCAGAACCGCTGGGCCAAAATGACCGACAAATCAAAAGAACTAAAAACAGTCGGTCAAACCGTGGGCCATGGATAGTATGAGGAAAACAGAGAGAATAATGTTGACCCGACTGCGAATAGGCCACACTAGACTGACGCATGGTCATCTCTTGGCGAGAAAAGGTTCACGGAGATGCCCATTGTGCTGTGCACAAATAACTGTTAAGCATTTACTAACCGAATGCGAACTATTGGCGCCACACAGTACAAAGTGTGGCCTTTTCTCGAGTTTGAAAGAGGTTTTACAACACAGCAATGACAACAGCAAGAAAATAATCAAATATCTGAAGCAAATAAATGCATATGGTTGCCTTTAATGCTTCTCCACATGTGGTTTCGTTTTCCCTTCCTGAAGTAAGTGTATTTATTGGCGAGAATGTCTGAGTGTATGGGTAGTGGTCGGAATATCGAGTACACCACAGACCCACCAAATTAGGATAGATATCTCTTTGTGTGTTTTGAGTATAATTGAAATATTTATTGGCACGAAAGTAATATGTATGGGTGGGTTGTGCAGGAATATCGAGTACTCCACAGACCCACTGATTTATGTTAGTATTGGGCTATAATATCTTTTAGAGTGAATGGACGGAGACACTGTTGTAATATTAAATGCGCCAGTGGCTCCGCATTTTTTTTATTTGTAAATACAGAATGATTGGTTACTGTTTGAGTGAATGTATTTATTAGTGCGATAGTAGTGTATGCATGGGTGGGTCTACGGTGGAATATTAAGTACCCCATAAACCACAAACCTAGGTTAATATTTAAGATTAATCGTAATTTTAATTGTACATAATTTATGGATGTATTTATTAGCATGAATGAGGGCGGGTCTTCAGAGGAATATCGAGTACTCTGAAGCCCGCCTATAGGCTAGGCTAGGATTGAATGTTAGTGAATGAGATAGTTTCAGAGCCTTTTCACCACGTGTGGGAGGGCTAAAAATGTAGAAATAACGTCCCAGAACGCAACCAGAAAGATCGCGAGACTTCCTAGAGAAAAGCTAATTAAAAAAAAAAAAATTAAATAAATAAATAAATTTATAAAACGTGAGGTGCCAAAGTCGCTATCTCGCAACTCTCGACTCAACCGCGGCTTCAATTTCGATAAATCGAAAAAAAATGATACTTTTCAAATAGTTTTTATACTTTTTATTTTTCCTTAGTTTTATAAAAATTTTGTGGATATTTGACCATATTTTACTACTCGACTCAGCAGGTCGATTTACATCGAAAAAATAAGTAAAAATTTTTTCGACTTTTTTAGGGTTTTGAGTTTTTCTCGAAAACTACTTGTACTACGGGCCTAATTCTTTTTCCAGTTGACTCAGCAATTCGATTTACATAGAAAAAGTCAATAAAATTTTTTTCGATTGTTTATGGTTTTTTTGCGTTTTTCTCGAAAACTACGTGTCCTACGAGTGTATTTCCTTTTGTACTCGACTCAGCAGGTCGATTTGCATAGAAAAAGTAAGTAAAAATGTTTTCGACTTTTTTGGGTTTTTCTCGATAACTGCGTGTCTTACGAGCCTAATGCCTTTTTCAATCGATTCAGCAGGTCATTTTACATAGAAAAAGTCAATAAAATTGTATTTGATTCTTTCGTTTTTTTGCGTTTTGCTCGAAAACTACGTGTTCTACGGGCCTAATTCCTTTTCCAATCGACTCAGCAAGTCGATTTACATCGAAAAATCAAAGAAAATTTTTTCGATTTTTTGTTTGTTTTTTGCGTTTTTCTCGAAAACCACTTGTTCTACGATCCAAATTCCTTTTCCAATCGACTCAGTAGGTCTAGTTACATCGAATAAGTCAATTAACAATTTTTCGAATTTTTTGTTTGGAACTACGTGTCCCTAGAATTAATTCCTATTCTAGGGACACGTAGTTTTCGAGAAAAACGAAAAAAAATCTGAAAAAGTTGAAACATTTTTTTGTTACTTTCCTTGTAAATCGACCTGCTGAGTCGATTGGAAAATAAATTAGACTCGTAGAACGATAAAAAATCGAAAAAAATTGAAAAGTACACACCCGCCTTCTTAGGTATTGGCGTTTTTATTTAATTTAAGTTAATTTTATTATTTTTATTAATTGTTTCGCGACCACACCAGCGCGCGCCCTATTTAAAGGCGCCTACAGAGTTTGTTCGCAATGTCAACAGCTTGACTGTCTTAATGATTCTTAAAATCTTCCCACTAGGTTTTTTAAATAGAGACTTTTAATTTTTGAAGAATCTTTTTTCCTTTTTTTTTGGGGTGTGTTTCAAAAATTACGGGATTGTCTAACTTAATTCTATTTTAAATCATCCCACTATATTCTTTGTAATTGAAAAAGACTATTGAAATAAAATTTCCTTCATTTGGTTTTTCCAGTTTGTTACCAAAAGTGACTGGCTTTATTCTTACTAACATCTTACACTTAATTTTTAATTCCAATCAACCCAGTACGTGGCTTTACATGGAAAATGATAAAAAATTTGTCTATTTTTTCGGGGTTTGTTGTATTTGCCAAAAATACATGGTTTACGAGCTTAATTTTTCTCCCAATGGACCCTGTATGTCGTTTTACATCGGAACAGGTTTATTTTAGGTATTCTGTTTTTCTCAAAAACTATGTGGTTTACGAGCTTAATTCTTTTTCCACTCGACCTACCGATCACAATAGAAGGAAAAACCAATGTTTAAACAATTTTTACGGTGGTTGTTTGGGTAGAGATGTTTATCCTTTTTAATTGATTTAAAATTGTGTTAATTTTTTTGAAACTTTTATGGAGTGAATTGACCAATCAAACTTGTCATTAAGGACAACGCTTCACTTTTTAACCTCTGAACTATAATCTATTGCTACAAATATTAATTGTTTGTGTTCATTGAGTAACTTAATTGTGTCATTTTTCCGCTCTGCTGTATTTTTAGCTGTGAAGTAAGCTTCCGATAGTGTATGGTACTGAGGTCTTTACCGGAAGCTTAATAGATTCCTAACTTTTTCCTTCTACCTGATCCTAAAACCCTAACCGAAAGACACTAAGTCATCTGTCTCCAGCGAAGTCACAAACGCAAGAGTACCACAAGGAAGGATCCATCTAAATTATACACCGCACATAATACAGATAATGCGTAAAATACCGCTATCCTTTGCCTTCTTAAAGATCTGTCATCCCAACCAGAAACCTGCAAACCCTTGAAAATGACAACAAACATACAAAAACGTGAACATGTCACTTATGCTGCTCCCAACAGTAATAATATCTCTCTCCCACCAGCTAATGTAGATCGCTGTTCTGTTTTTCGTTTTTGTAGCCGAAACAAACAATGCTTAGCAACCAAAATGTGAAGCTTGAATATAAAATATTTAGTCGTGAAACGCATAGAACAACTTGTTTTTGTTTTTTTTTTACTTGCATTTATTTATTGTTTTTTGGGTTGTCTTTTATATGGAACTTATTTCCAATGCCATGGGAATAAGCGTTGATTCTTAACCACGATGTCTGTGCCGGAGGTTTGCACCCTGGCCAAACTCGTTTCCCCCTCTGCTCCCTGGCGTCCCCCGCCTAGAACCCTCACCGATTCCAACAATCCCATGCCAGTAAGTGACTTGGTCCGGCCCGGTTTGCTTCGAGTAAGCGGTGTTGCTGTTGTACTTCGTCGAAGACGCACGTTTGGTTTCGTCGATTGTAAGCATTAAAGGCCGCGCGTGCAAGGATGTGATGTGTCTAGGAAGGTCGTCGAAAAATGCCGTTCGTCCAGCGGGTCATAGCCCCGAAGCATCTGAGCCGGATTACCCTCCACGATGAACAGGGGCGGCCCCGGGTGCGCGATGACGAACTGGAGGCCGTAACAAATTTCACCCTCTGCAACGCCCTTAGACAGCTTTCGTCTGTCCTCTCCGTGGCTCAGGACATTTTCGACACCCTCAATAACGAACTTCACCGTGTCTCCCAGAGGACTTTCAATATAAAAAAAAGGATACAGACTCTTCAGGACAACGTCGACAACTTCGATCCCAAATCAGTTACAGTCCGTAAGTAAACACTTCACAAGATTTTCATCTCTTGCACCTTGTCTGGCAGTAGAAAGAGGTGGCCGCGACGCAAAAAAGACTTCCTTACCGTCTACCTAATTTTGAGAAAATACAATTCTCTCATTTGATTTATCTTTTTATATATTTATATAAGATATTTTTACAATATTTCTACCATAAAGGTTTTATGAAATTTGTAGTTTTGCCAGAAATTTATCATCTATAGCCTGCACATTTCCTATTTTTTGAGTAAATTCCATCGCCTGAAAGATATTTGGCAATCGGTTGTCAAATGTAATGAATCATGATTGCATCAATTTTAGTTTAACTAAGTTTGACATTTAGCCTGCTGAAAATTATTTAATCGTCTCCACCACTTCTCTTTTTCGGCACAATAAATTTGATCATCTGGAAGAGTCAGTTAAAGCTTCTAGTTGTTTTTCGCTGAGCCAAGAACAGACTACATTTCCAACATAATAAATTAGGCAATTAAAACATTTCTCTGTTTGAATTATCCGGGTAACTTTTGACATGTTAGTTGATAAAATTATTGTTACAAGTGAAAATGAGAGAAAAAAAAATTTTTTTTTGCACTGGGGTTGACCTATCTCAAACACCTTAATTAAAGATTAATTAATTGAAAAGAATTTATTTGGTCAAGCGGACCACGAAACTAGTGAACTTAATAAGTTGAAATGAAGTATATCTTCACTAAAGCTCTCCGTGGCCATTTCATTAGTCGCCGAGAATCAAATAGATTACACGACATTTGAAAAATGGCAAAAAGGAGGGAAAATTCAAAAGGTGGGGTTGAGATGGGAAGTTAGTGTCTGAGTGGATCGAAGACACGATAGCTCAACTGGTAGAGTAGCGGCGTATCTAGCCGAAGGTCGTGGGTTCGAATCCCGCTCGTGACACTGACTATTTTATCTCACCTAAAAACCTTAATTCATTGAAAGATATTAATTGGTCAAAGAGACCACGAAAACTAGTGAATTTAATACACAACGTGGAAAGAACACAAGTTTTTATGTATATCAAGTAAGTTTATATCAAGGTAATATTTTTGTAACAGGTTCATTTTAATAACATGTAGAAATAAAATTAGTTTCCATATAAAATTTCCTTTAAAGTCGAGGGCAATGGGGCAAAAAATACCTAACTTCAATGTACGGTTTTCACTGTTTGCCGCTTTGATTGAAGACAAGTACAAACACATTTTAGACAATTATCTCTTATAAATGTGTTATTAGTATCCAGGATATGAGAGGGCAGTGGCCTGTTTTCATAAATTACGATTGGCATGCAGGTAGTGGAAAGATCAGCATTATCCTTTTTTTCGCTCCTCGGAGTTCCCAGAAGATGCAGGTACAGGAGGCATTCATACAAATTTAATTTGGACCTATTTTTACCTGGTGGCGTTTTGTATTTCCAAATAGGGGGTCATGGTTTGAGTACTGATAGAAAAAAACATTTTTAATTATAAATGTCTACAGGATGTCTGCTGTTTACTTATCCTCAAACACTGACTTTGCTGAAGCATAATTCTCTCGTTAAATACTTCATAGGATGTAAATTTGTATTCAATACAATTTTTTTGGAGATGTAATTCTCTTTCAATAGAACTTTTTGTGAAAAACGCCTTGGATTTTACTTTCGCAATCAATGATGTGGCCTGGATTTTTTTTAAAAATGCAACTTCGCTCGAAAATTAGTGATATAAAAGCAGTCTAACCTAAGCTCCGAAGGATAACGCATTGTTTGTTGTGGCGAAAAATGTTGTTTGTTGTAGTTCAGAAAAATGTGAGATCGATGAAAGTGTTTCGTTATATCGTTAATTCATCAAGTCGGTTTCACTTTTTACCTTTTATGTGAAAGTTTTTTAAAAAACAATTTTTGTCTCTATCTGTATTTGTGACAAGTTGGATTTAAATAACTGTGTGAATACCATGAAAAATTTATATTTCTTCACCTCTGCAAAAAATGTTAGAAAAACTGTTCTTGGCATTTTATTATGTATATATAAGCAGGGTAATACTATTTTTGAGAGAATGGAAACAATTTACCAGAAGACTAGCTGCAGGCTGCGGAGCAGTCAATAATACCTACTCTAACAGATTTACATAGGAAAGGAATCATGGTCTTTTGACAAAACATTAGGGGAATCTATTTGTAGATTTGGTCTCTATATTAGAGATGGAATAACCACTGCCAAATTTAGCAGAAGAATTAATTACTGGAGATGCTGACTCATGCCGGAACTCTAAGGAAAAACAAAACCTTCCCAAGAGGTTTTGCCTTCAAATATTGCTAACTGGGACCAGAGAAAAGTGTCGCGTATCCAAACTATTGTGAGTACTCCAATCCCTACAAACAATGATTTTTAAATAATCTCTGACGCTAAAACGTAAAATAAAAATAATACAGAAACAAAACATAAGAAAGTTCTACCGATTTACATTAAGAACGTAGTGAATACTCATTCACTAAAATTTTTTTTAGAAAACATAGGAGGCGTCAATTCCTTCTTCATATAAAACACTAAAAATTCTCTAAAACTACTCGCAATCAAACCAACAACCTACAGACAATTTATAAAATTTTTGGAAAAAACTCCAACTGAATTCCTTACGTATCGACTACAAGAAGAAGAAAAAAGTACAGAATTTTATTCTATGCTTCTCTATCCCCACAGGATTAATAGTTGAAGAATTAAGCAACAAAGGATACAAAGAAGTTAATTGCATTAACACTCTATTACGATTTAAGCTACCATTGAACACGTTTTTTATAGACGTAGACGAAAACATATGTAATTATAAAAATCTATGATATCACGACCTATTGTACAGACAAATAAAGATTGAAGAACCTTTTAAGCATAGATAAATCGTGCAATGCACGAGGTGCCAAGGCATCGGGCACATCAAATCCTATTGTAGATATCAGCATCGGGTGCAATGCCTTCAAAGTCTTACAGCAAAACGCACAAGAAACACGGAACAAGAACAACAAGCTAAACATATCCAATAGTATCCCGTCTTTGCTCTCCTAGAGGTCGCACTTGACAACGCGAAAGGTTAAACTGGCATTTACAATACAGTAGATCAAGCGCTACCAAATATCTACCAACATCATCCAAAAAATATCCGGATATTCTGGATTTTTTTGTTTGAAGTGAATAAATAATATTCCTTTTCAAACAAACACCTCCACCGACTTATCGTATGACCGTCTACCTGCCTTTTTATCACATCAATTAAAACTTATCAAAAATAATCGTCTTACTAACTCCTGGACCAATGAATTAGAAAAAATTTCGTTCCTTGCTTGATCAAAAACTTTCCATCCCAATTAGCTTAAAAACACCAAGAGAACTAGAAAACGCGGTTGATTTGCAAAAACAATACAAAATGTAGCATGGGAATTTTCATTGTCTCACACTCAAAAAGAAAATCTTACAAATTAACCTTTCTACGTAAGGTAATTAATATCCGAAAAAAGAAGGACTAGAAACCTTTGGCTCAAAAATCAGTCATTGACAAACAAATTTACAACAAACTTTTCTATACACTGAAAAAATAAATAAAACTATTTAAACAACTATCATACGAAACACATTTAAAACTGTTATCAACAGAGGATGGGAGCGTCTGGCGTAGTACTAAACATATCGTTTCTGATAAAGAAAAGTCCAAAACATTTTCGAAATATCTCTCAGAGGTATTCAAACCTCATAACTTAATCGATATTGAACACGATAAATTTATATCAGATTCACTTATGACACCTATACCATCTAATTTACCACCTAAACCAATAATTCTAAAACAGGTATCACTATAAATAGGTTTGATAACAGCTGAAGTTCTTCAAGAACAATACTTTTTAAAAGGATAGTTCCTACTCACAGTAAGTTGTATTACTATAAATTACTATAAAAATAATAACAATTAAAATAATTAGTTTAATTGTTATTATTTTTATAGTAATATTAAGTATTTATTATTCTAATATTTATTTGTGTTATAATTTCCGCGTTTCGCACGTTCAAATTGAGCGTCATTAAAAAAATCAGCTGATAATTGGAACGTCGCGTTGGCGGAGGTATCAGCGGTTCACTTTGGCAATTCATGTCGAGAGACGTGGTTGTAGAAGTCCTTCAACCTGATGATGAGCTAAAAGGCTCGAAATCCGGATCGTTGCAAAACAACTTACTGTGAGTAGGAACTATCCTTTTAAAAAGTATTGAACACCACTCACTCCATCATTTATAATTTCTATTCTTCAAGAACTTCCTAAATGCCATTGTCTTTTTGACTTCTTTATTTAACGCAATTTTGAGAACTATACACTTTCCCATATAATGGAAACTTCTTACATTAAAATGATTCCATAGCTCTATAAAAAATATAAGCGCCCCATCGTCTTATCTTCCTATTAGTTAGTTGCCCTTTCCTTCTAAATTTTTCAAAAAATTAATTACAAAAGAATTATCTCTATTGCTACTTCAAACAACATCTTGCTACACCATCAATTTGTCTTTCGAAACCATCGTTCCACTACTCATCATCTTCACAGAGTTACAGATTTCATTACTTCATGTCTTGAGCAGAAAGAGTACGACTGATATGTTTGTAGATGTTTCTCAGGCCGTTGAAAAAAGTATGACATGAAGGATTATTATACAAATAAAAATTATTTTTACCCCAGGTCCGTTATCTTATTATGCAATCATACCTTAAGGAGAGATATTTCGCTGTAAACCAGGGTACGGAGACCTCTGAGATAGAAGTGCTTGCAGGAGTGTCACAAGGGTCAATAGTCGGTTGTATACCATTTTTACTTCGGATATGTCCACAAATGAGATGCACTTACCGCCACATACGCAGATAACACAGACATATTAACAACTTCTGCACAAGCTTCACATGTTACAAAACCGCATATCAATTAAAAAATGGAGCAATCTTTGGAAAATAAAGTTTTACCCTTAAAGT